TTTGCGCAGCTATAAATAATGTATTAGAGGAAAGCGTCATTAATTGTAAGTGTCTGTTTGTTTTACCGCTACACTACGAAATCGCCCAGAATACTATTGAAACTAATCTGTATTATAATCATTTTACCGATTGATTCTAAGGCATTTCACTACTTGATATTTAAAACACTTGATAATACTTGATATGTATACATATGTGCAGTAGACAACGTCATATGAAGGGTAAAGGAATGTGAATCCATTCAGTCCTTCAATTTCATTGTGAACATTAAACTCGATTTAACACGTCTGAATAAAATGTAAGAATAAGACATTTGAAGAGTAAAAGGGAGCCGAAAACGTTCGGTAACGTATAGGCTATAAAACCGGACGACCGTCAGGAAAGGAGATAATAAAGTCATGAGACTGTTAATTCGTACGGTTTGCTGCGAATTCAAAGCTTTCACATTATTTCGTACGAAACTGACTTAATTATACGCCTGCATTGTGCATGCGCCGCCTACGGAACGGAATATTTACAACGTCAAAGAATTGTATAGCACATTATGATTAGGTATACAATATGCATAGATATGTGATCTGGGTTAAATAACACAGAGCCGGCATTGTCTGCATTATGTGAGACATACACATCGATAGGACACAAGCACAAGCGTGTTTGACATCGTTTGACACAAATCACCATGACCGCGTTGCGCTCTGCACTTTTGTATTTTTATTTGTTAGCCTTTTGACGGCGCCGCCTTTCAAAAGGGCATCACATAAAGGAAAATGTGAGTAATCACAATCGCGTCCTTTGATAGAACCTGGAGTTGTTCACCTCAATTTTACACGGCACGTCGCACAGTGTGAGAATCCCGCAATCTAGGGGGATTTAAATGAAAATATTTTTTGTCGTAAATGTTATTATAGTTACTACCTATTTATACCTAAGACCGTATTTAACACAGCTACCTATTAGAAATTCTTGTAGTTATGTTAAAAAAATTCAAATAAAATGTTGAAGTGGGTGGATAATAATCGTTGAACCTTTACAATACAAACAACAATATTAAAGTCTCATCTTCACTTGAGATTACTGATCAAATTAACGTATAGTCTTGTTTATTGGTTTATTATTGTATTGTGTATACCTTTCAAGGTAAGTTAGAGTGTATTTTGTTTAAGTAATAGTTAAACATTGATCTCATAACATCATTTGAAAGCACAGTTAAATTAAGCATTTTCTAGAGACGATTTGCAAAACAAAAGGGTGTATAAAAAAAAATGATCTGAATATCCCGGCGCTGTTATTGTTTTAATGTATAGTTTAGATTCTTACATTTTGAGAACAATTGCTAAAACTTGCGATTTTGTGCGACCGTCATACATTTTTTTTCGGTTTTCAGAATGACGACCGAAATTACAAAAAAACAAATTTTTGATATTTGGACCTCAAATGCAAAAAAGGAGCGAATTGATTCTATTTTTGCTTTAATAATAAATAATTACCCTCATGTACAATTTTCTGAAGGTGCTATAAATGAAATTAAGTTCTTTTTAAGGAGGTTATGTAACAAATTTAACGAAATATGGACAGCTAGCGGTAGACATCGTGATCGCTTTTTAACTCGTCGAGTACCGGTTTTGTAGACACAATTATAGAACAATAGGTTGCGGTCACCGGTGACCGCTTGGTGTTTGACAGTTTAAGCAAGAATATGACTTGGTTGAATGAATGCATTACATTACCAGAAAATGTTTTAAATGAAATACCATCTACATCTGGCCATTCACCAGGAAGACTACACAAAAGTTTTGTACAATGTTGTGATAAAAATCGCCTACAGAGACTTGATATTAAAATGTGGCAAGCTAGAGGTCAACAAAAATAAAGATAAGGTTAAGGCAAGGAAGATACATATACAAACACGGTTCAAAAATGAATTAGGTTTATTAGTAGATTTACCAACTCAGCAAGCTGGTAATATCAATGATGGCAACACAGCACGCCGATTTTTCAGAAGTGCCACAATAACTGCTGATGTTACCGGAATATATTTAGAATTAATAACGAGGTTTCATATCATTTTAGAAACTCTTGGGTCTGGTTTTACAGTCGATTTAGAGTCCTTCAATAGTTACACAGAGGAAACCAGAAACCTATATCTTAGGGAATACTCATGGTATAACATGCATGCCAGTAAGTGTGCACAAAGTTTTATTTCATGGCCGTGATGTCATAGCTTCGTGTATTTTACCCATTGGCCAGTTATCGGAAGAGGCACAAGAAGCTAGAAACAAAGATATAGGGAATTCTTTACTAGAAAAACGTCACGAATAGACACCAACACCGACCTACTTAATAGGCTTCTTATATCATCAGACCCTTTCATATCCAGCTTGAGGCTTATAACGAAGAGACAACGAAGTCCTCTAGACCCCGATGTCCTAAAATTGCTTTCTGCAACCACCGTAAATGAGATCGAAAGTAGAGTTAGTGACTAAAATAAGAAAATTTATTAATACCGCATTTTTTTTAATACAACTTTTTTTTCTATCGCTGTTTAAGAATTTTTATTTATTTCAATACCAATCAATATTATTTTTCAACTTGTATCTTTTATTTAAATCAATTTGGAATTAAATCCCCCTAGATTGCGAGATTCTCACAGTGTGCGTCGTCGAGCGCCACAAATGTGAAAACAGTTTTAGTCCGTGTCATAAAAGATGTATTCTCATCAAAATGTTGAAAGCGATCCTGTGTCAGCCCACACGAGCCCACATAAACTGGAATTACTTGACGAACAACTTCCCTTATTTATTCTTACACAAATGAAAGTATTGAGATGATCTGTCTGTGGTATTCGGTTGTTACATAGTAACAACGAAGGTATGAAGTTCGTGGTCTTTGTCGAAGTTCGTATATTAACATCGGCACAGTAAGGTAAAAGTCAATACGTAACCAAATAGTCTCTTTTTTATTTATTAATGTTCGTTTATAGTAGCCAACATTTCTACATCGGTGTTGTTTCACGGCCATTGCTATTGTAGGCCGGGCACATTACCAAGTGTCAGTGACACATTAAAGTGCACACTTGTAACAAATACAATATAAGATACAAAGCTAAAAATAAAATACGCAGATAGATTCTAAATAAATTCAACTACATAATTTTACCACGAAATTAACTATAATGTACATACATTTGTATAATATTTTAATAACTATCTATATAAATAGATACTCTTACTCTGATACAACTGGCGTAAACTGACCCCTGACTCCGTGGTACCAACAAATTCGAAATCAGAAATTCTCTATTTATACCCCGCATAATCTGTAAATTAACTTCAGACCTGTTCGGTAGCTATAGCTACAATAGCAAACTACAAGGTTTGTTTGCCAATAAATTTGTTTTATGAGAAAATGTTCAGTGGCATTACATTACCTTGTTAGTGACTAATTTCTTGATGGCTTACACACACATATGAAAGTTAATTATTTATTAAATCAACACATTAACAGCATGAGCGCAACATAATTACTTACATTAATGGTTGAAATGTTGTTCACTATAATTATTATCTTAATATATATATATTTACCAATGTAATAGCTACTGCATAAAATCGACTAAAGATTGAAAAAATTGCAATAAAACACAGTATGTCGTTTTATTTCGAAAGTGAGATTGTTAAGAGAGCATAATATTCCTAAAACGGGCGATATTATCACTTTGATACTCATTATCACCATATCCATAGACTAAAGGAACCATTTTACTTCATGCCTTCTGTTGACATGGCTTAAAGCTTCACTTTAATGAACCGTCCCTACGCTACGTAAGTGGCCAGTAATTGTTACGTAGGCGTATTTGGATGCCAAATTGTTGCCTTTTATTCTTTTTTTAAATCAGATACCTTTTTATTTTAGGTAAATGGCTAAATGTGCATCATTACGGCTTCCATTTGTATCGAATATAAAACTCGTTAACAAGAAAAAAGTACTGCTTTTAAAATAAACTGCTTTACCTACACAGTACATAATATTATGTTTGTATACATAAACGTGTGGAACTACGAATGTTTATACGTAATACACGTAAGTAGAGACGTAATCGGCCCGAAATAATATTTTGTTCTAATAAAAGAAACTAGCTAATTGTGTTCATAGATATATTTAGATGAAATTTAAATAGAATGAGGAATCTAATGCTCATTGATTTTGCTGGTTGGAAACGGTGTCCCATTAGTTCAGGTTCTGTAATTGACCAAAGTTTGGACAAACTACATAGTATGGAATTTGACTTAGGTATTGCAATAGACTTGTCATTTATTATGTAGTATTTAATGGTAATTAATTATCCTTCAAGTTACAGCCATGTAGGAAAGCTAGCTTCTTTATTAAGGCAATCGAAGGGTCAGTAAGAGCTTATAAGCCAGTATTAAGTTGTCGAAGGATGGCGAGCATTGCGGCGCCTCGCAGACCGTTTACGTAACTAACAGTAGCTCCTTAATCAACGCTGCAGTTGAAATAAACATATTTTTCAGAATAACAATCTTAATGAGTATGAACAAATATTCCAACAATCACTTTTGATACGTAACGTTAAAGGGAATTAGCTCTTATTTTAAAGCTCATACGTTTTTATACAGTTGCAATTATAGTTATTGGGTTATACAGTAGCAATAAACTGCAATTGGCTGGCTCGGTAGTTTCTGACCTAATTTGTTATTAACACGATGCATGATACACGAACGGTCAGACCGTGTCGTGATTATTTATTAATTGAATTTCACTGTACGTACATCAGATTTCGATCGTAAACACAAATGACACGTGTAAACAAGTCCTAATAATTTATTTTATATACTTTCGAGGATATCAACGTAAACAGTATGAAGTTTGAATGTTAAATAGGTTTTGAATGTTAAAACATTGTAATTTCACGAAGTTCCACAGTGAGGCAATGTCACGTATAAGGGATATGAGTGTTTTTGGTGTGTGGCCAACTCACGTATAGCGGTGATGTGGACTTTCTGCAGCCGTCGATGTTGCCGGCGCCAGCTGCGCACACGCATGCACCCACTTCACACATTAATACTTTTGTATTGCCGGAAACTCTAATGCTTATAAATTCTGCAAGTCTACTAAACTGTGACGGCTGTGCTTTGATGAATTAAAGACATTAGATGCCTCGTTTGTCACTATTATTTTGTTCTATTGATGTTCGCTATTACGTCACCTTACCGTTTTTAAACAAATAAAAACGTCCTACGTGATTCTACAATGTTTTAATGTCCACAAGCCGACCTCACTCCGTTACAGTTTACTCTCGTTTGAAGACGATTCATTTAACCACATCATTTAAATACAACATTCACTATTTGTGTATCGGCATTTAAACCGCATACATTAACCAATACAGGCAATTACTGCGAAATGTGAGCAAACAACCTGTTGTTATAATAACAAAATTAGTTTCCGCGTGACTCAGTTCGGCGGCTCGTCTATTCTCTACGAGGCGGTGAAGCGCTGACCCCGCGACGGTCTAACAACGTATTACAACAGAACTGGCGAACTTGACCGCCCACATACACAAACATCTCATACTCGAACACTTAGCCCTAGATACAAAGCACCACACGCACTTGTGTCTCGTACTACCAGAGCGCAGCATCTGGTACTGCTATCAATACAATCTACGACACCATATGTCCACCGTAGTCGAGTTTAACATTTCTATCAATGAAAATCAATCATTGTGAGTGACAAGTTTAACCGCAGCACAGTTGATTTGGAGCTGGCTCGCTACCCGGCGACGCACCTTACGAGCTTTCACAACCATTATCCACCAAAGTACATCAATATCGATAGCGGTTCTCGATAACACCCTATCGGTTCGTCGATCGAACCATTACATCGATTTATGATACGAGATCTCGAGTTGGCGACACGTAATAAATCTTTTCGCCAATTTTCTCGGATCACAATACCGTCATGTTACAACGGTGTGAGTAATTTTTTCTTTTGTTCCGATACTGTTATCTCGTAATCGATATGAGCGAGATGTATCGGATATCCACGCTACTTTGATCGCAATCTATCAATCTGGCCACACAGCTGCTTAAGGGGCGTATTCAATTTTATTTATTTTTTAATTGGATTTCATCAGAACTTGTTTGCGGTTTCGTTTCTAGGTTAAGGTAGTTAGTATGAATAAAAAGGATCTAATTTAAAATATAACTAATTGGTTGCTGAGTAGTTACCTACATAGTGAAGAGGTTACAAACATTCTAAAAATATTTATGACAATGTAGTGAGTCATTATAATAATGTGATGTTTGCATTATGTTGGAGGTTGTTGGTGGGTCGATGTTGTGACTACGTACTCTTATAATAAACGCTATTTGCTAGCGAAAGCAGCGACGCGGGCGCACCGTTAATCTCATGCTGCACTAAAGCTCCAAGGTTAACTTTCGCGGGCAGCCGGCAGCCGGTACCCCGCACCACCACGATCGTGAAGTCGATGCAGCACGTGTATTAAACCTCTATGCAAGAAAACAAGTTAAATAAATAACTTTTACTTGCGTACCTAGCACTTACTTGCTCCATAACCATATAAATATTGAGAAAAGTCGCAAATGTATACTTATATTTCAGTATCCTCAACGTAAAATCCTCGTTTCGAAATATTTTATTTCCCTATCGACAAACTAATGAAATTAAACTTTCCAAACTTCTAGTTGATGGTCTGCAACTAAGTAGGGACTTCAAGGAAATTTTGTTGTAGTATATTACTATTATCATAGGGTTGTAATAATATTTCCATACAGGTAGTCTAGTTTTATTGTTATTGCGTAGCAGGGAATGTAAATATAAGGATAATATAATAATTCGATCCTGTTACTATGTACCTAGTATGTAGGAATTAATTAATTCAATGTTATAGCAGCTGTAGATCAACAAGATAATAACCATTAGTAGAGTTTAAACCAATGGTGTAAGCCATTACAGTACTATAAATCTATGTCTGAAGTAATGTTTAATGCTGACTCATCGGCTGCACCCAACACATATACAACAATAGAAAAACATAGGTTTTGGAATCGCGATTTTCCTTCCCTTTTGTCCTTTCATATTTTTAACCTTACAACGTGGCCTAGTACTACCACCTTGTATGATAGTTATGCAAAAAAAAAGAAATAAAATGTTACTTCGCTGACAAGCTGAAAGTATGTCCCCAATCACATTAGCATAATACCGCCCCGGGCGGCACATCGATACCGACATGCTAATATAACATTATGCGGGAATCCGCCGAATATTACTTACTTCACAAATGTTAATGTTTCATTGCCAACCTATTATATATAAAATATAACTTGCAAAGTCATTCTCCAGAGGGTTTCTTTAATATTATTACACTTTAGGATTTCAGGATTACTTAACTTACAAGTGGAAGTCTGAAATTAACATGGTTATTGGAATGACATTGAGGAACGCATTCCATAATTCATATCGTCTTGTATGTTTTATAAGATTTTGTTCATTTACCAGTCTCTCAATAGTACCTAAATATTACTAACGATGTCACGAAATTTCGTCAATATTAATTACATACATATTATTATAATAATAATTTCGCAGAAATTACTTTTATCACAACGATAAGAGTTATAAAGCTGCGTCACTCCGTAAACTGAATGGACCATGATTCACGCAAAATTATTTTTAGCACATTGCTGTATTCGTGTTATTTACTACGAACTACGATGATTCTCACGGTCACTGATATTTTTAATTGAACGCACTGCTGTGACAATTTCATTGATAAACACAATCCGCTGTAAATATACTTAATTAAGGAACGAACTTCGTTGACGGTTCATAAAAACGATGATGAATGAACAAAACGGCTCCTCACTGCCTTTACGATGTAGTTCAGTATAATTATATCGTAAATGTGAACCATAATTTAAGACAACATTTCGATCATATTTTTTTGCTAGGTCCACAATCATACGCGCAGACGCATCGATCAATATCGATGTGAGACCTATAAATCAGCATCAGTCAGCTCAACAAGTGGACAACCTCGGTTAATTCCACGCCACAGATGACTCACGCGCTGCATTAATACAGTGATCTGCCTAAAGGCTGTACGCATAAATTCAGTAATTGCAGACGCGTAGACAATGCAGGAACAAGTGAGGCAGGACTCCATGAATAATACATTGAGGTGGTACAAAAAGCGAACGATACTAAATGACGAAGGTATGCGGCGATACGGCACCATTTTATTTTTACCCGACTGGCAAAGAAGGAGGGTAATGTTTTTATTTAATCGAAATATTTCAGGGTGAGCTTCGGTTCCCAGACGATATGAAATAAGTAAAAATATATTTTCTTTGTTCACAGTCACCTGTTTATGGTAATGTTATCTATTTATGCAGACTGTGGCTCAACGAATTATTATTAGTCGCAAAATTCCCCATGTAGGAAAAATTTCATGAATTATTTAAAAGGTGGATATTGATATTCGAAAACCGACAATTTAATTGAAATGTAATTATTTTACTTTTGTACGTTTCGAATTCCAATTTTCCTGGACACACAATATCTGTAATGCGTCTATATACGTATATTTATAACATCGAATAAATAAATATAGAAAATTGACAATAACTACTTTGGCATTAATGAAATATAATAATTATTACATTAATGTTATTATTAGCCGTTCCTTTAGGTACTATGTATTTTTCTGTAATGTATAACATTTATTAATAACATTCATTAACAAACTCTAATGAGAATAGCCCCTGAAATTGAAAATCGAAACATATTTTGCTGCGGAAAAAAGGGCTTTGTTGACTAAGAAGAACTTAATTAAATCCCAAAATATCCCTAAACTAACTCTTAGCAATACGTGAAAAACTAAAGTTAAAGTTAGATATGCTATAGGTAATACCTATTGGATGAAGCATTAATATGCGTCTATTTTTTCCTGTAATGGTACCAGTAGGCGGAGACTTTTAGCATACGCAGTACTTGAACTCAGGGTGGTCGACTCTTTACTATTGTTTTATTTACTTTTGGTTTATTGTAAGCAATAAAAGATTAACGCACCTGATGGCCAAAATAGTACAGAGCTGAATATATCAAGGTTTTTGACTTGTTGAACCAAATAATGCGTCGATTTATCGATTTCTCACCCACTAGATAAAAATCCTTCTTAAGATATCTGAATCTACAGAAGTACTTTCAATATGTATTGAAAATTAAATAAAGTTCTCGTAAAGGAGTTTTAGGTTTGTCAGTCGAAACTAAAAGCCAAACTTTGGGTTTATTTTATAATTGTTCAGATAAAACTTTTATATGGTCAACAACGGGCGATTTCTTAGTAATTATTTGTTATTTTGGTTGGGATAGAAAAGATAAGTCAGTTTTGAGAATTGAATCCATTTATAGTTTTATATAAATACACTGGACTTTTGTTTATATCATTACGAACTTGGGGTTTATTGTGTTAATTTGTTTGGACAAGCACAAACTTTTAGGTAACCTCACCGACCTGAGGCACTAGCAACGATGAGGCGAAGTTGTAGGTAAACTTACTTTTTACTCAGAGTTTACGACAAATAAAGTCCTAAAATATATCTAAAATTAGGTAACGACTACAAGCTGTAATCATAATTCATGCACCCATTTAGATATCATCAATAATTCTAAGTTAGATAATTATACCTTTAATCAGGCTTCAATGAAGTCATGAATCATTGCATTAGATTTCATCCATCGATAGAAATAATGATGTAGGAATTAATGGGTACATGTATATATATTGTACATACATAGGTACCGTAAAGTTAATAATGTGTTGTAAGGATATATATCGGACAGATCGGTGATCAATCATACAGAGATTATACCTGATGTCTGTTACCTTTGCCCTTACACTAAAAATAGATCAAAACGTTAATCGTTACATGACTTTCAACTTTGTTACTATCGCTTAAGAAATACTTTTAATCGACTGCCACGTTTTATCTGATTTCTAGAATACAGAGCCATTTTTATTTTAAACGTTAAGCAGTGGCTTATCGCGCCGGGCTTTTTGCTTTTAAGATTAAATTAAAAATGAACAATTCGTAGGAAAATCCCGAAATAATTGTTTGTTTGTTTCATTTTGTTTTTTTTTTTTGGTAATTGGAAAGATTAAAAATAATTGTTGAAGGGATTTCTATAGCCTATTAAACTTGTATTCTATTTTTAATAATACTAAAATATACTAGAGTTGATACTCGTTCGGTAAAGAAGGC